CTCCATATATTCACACTATTTGATCAATGTGTTATAGTAGCAAGACTTGTAAAGTTTGTTTTTATTGGTGCAACAATGTTTGCAAGCCGATGGGATGCACCTGATGTAGGCAACCAGCAGACTATCCTCAATATCTCATGCAACAAATTGATATATTCAACATCAACAAGACTTTGATGAGTATTTTGCATACCTTGTATTATTATTGTGAAGCGACGTAGAAAACTTTGATGGGATTTGAGAGTGCTGGCTACCGAAGTTTGGCCATTAAAAAAAAGGTCATTTCAGCTACGGAGAAGAATGGCCATTATAAAAGGGCACTCAGGTTTTACCATTCAGTAGGAGGTGTTTCTTCTTCTTTTAGTATAGGGGCATTCATATGTAATTTGTCAAATGACAGCGCTTTGTCCACTGTATATGTCAATTGGATAATCATCGAAGATGAATCCAGGGTATTCAACCTCATGCCTCATAAAGAACAATTATGTGGATATGTTGGACTTCACCATTAGCTAAGGGAGGGTGAGGATGCAGCAGCAAAAACTCAAAACGTGTTTTTTTTCTAACCCAAAGAGCATGAGCAAATTGCATCCAAGATGTTTATTTTTTATTTTTTTATTTTTTTATTTTTTAAAAATTTATTTTTAGTACTGTGTGTTGATTTTTTTACGTGAGATAGATGAAGATCTTAAATAGAAGGAAATAACATGAGGGGGAAGTTTGAGAGTGAAAGAAAGAGCGAGAGTTGTTTTGATTCCCCCTTAAATTTTTTCTTTTTTATGTTTAAGTGGTTGAAATGGCCCACCGGGAGAAGACTTTGGTACTCTTTTGTAAAGAGGTTTTTTTTAATGAGAAAGAAAAAAGTTTTTCTTCCCCTTGGTTGAATTTACAGCCACTTGTTTTCTCAATTATTGCTGAGTTCTTGTATACTTTAAGACAAAAAAAAGAAGGTTGGATTTAATTTATCGGACTCCTTTCTCTTCATATAATTATAAATTAGTTAACAATAAATCTATAATTTAATATAACTTTTATATTAATCTAATTAGATATTTTTATTTTAGTATACAAAGTACATGATTACATTGTGTATGATTATATATTATAACAAGGTCTAGATTGGGGAAAGTATTTGTTGTTTTGAGGGTTAGTGACATTTATTTTGTTGGGAAACTTTTATATGTGACAGCACCAAGGGGGTCCAAACACCGTTAGTATGTGGTGCCAACCAACCCAACCTTTTGACAACTTCTTGAATTCTCAGTTGATGAATTTACTTAACTTTTTCAAAAGGTTTATTGACTCATTGAGTAAGGAAAGCATTTTCTTAATTTTGGGGCCTATCCTCGATTAATTTGGATTTTCAGATAAATTTATTGAGGGGAAGTTTTAATATGTCAAATGGTGCTAGGACCATTTATTTTGGGATTTTGTGATGAGAATGGTGATTAATTGTTGTTGGTAAATAATTGACGATACAGTCCTTTTCTTATCATATTTGTGGGTTTAAATTTAAGAAAAATCAAGAATTATGATGCTTTCTTAAAAAGTTCACATATCTAATTCTATACGACATAGTCAGTACAAAGTCAAGTACCAGATCTTTGAGTTTCACAGAGAGACCTATTGGAAGAGTCAATGAGATTCACAAAGTCTAAACTATGCAGTACATTGCATTGCAAATTGATATTCGTATTACTTAAACAAAAGAGACATGAATGTAATTAATATTACAAAGAGATGTAAATATTATATCAGAAATCATACCATAGCAAGGATATAAGTCACAATAATTGAAAAAAATGTTAGAAAAAATTCATTACAATTAAAAAATGAGCTTTAAAAGAAATAAATATAAAAAAAACTCCATCATTTTAGGAGATATCCACGTTCTCTATCTCTCTCTTTTTTTTGGACCAATTATAAACTTTTTACTTCTTTTTTTTTTTTTCTTTTTTTGGTAATTCAGAAAAACATTCTCTATCTATTCATTAATTTTAGAAGTTTCTATCTAGAGATACCTTTACGCAACTCTCTGTTTCTCTTCTATAGTTCATGAATTTCCATCTTTTTCTGTTTTATAGTTATTGAAATTTGTATTTTTTAAAAAAATTAAAGAAAAAAACTCCACCATTTTAGGAGGTATCCACATTCTCTCTCTTCATTAATTTTAGAAGTCTCTGTCTAGAGATACCTTCAATGCCACTCTATGTTTGTCTTCTATAATTTAGGAGTCTCTATCTTTCTCTTCTCTCTTTATACGCATTAAATTTAGGAGTTTCTCTCCCTTCTATCTCTATGCATTAAATTTAAGAATTTCTATATGTCTCTAGCATTAATTTAGGTATTTATCTCCATGTCTCCCTCGCTATCTCTCTTTCAACCCCTAAAGATACCCCGTCTCTCTTTCTATACATTAAATTTAATACTTTCTATCTCTAGCATTAAATTCAGGGATTTATTTCCACGTTTATCTCAATCTCTCTCTACCCTTTTTCTCCTAGAATAAGTTTGTTTTCTCTCTCTCTCTTAAATTTTGTGCATACTCTCTCTATCTACCCCTTAAGATGGGAATATGTCTTGTAATCTCTATAGAATTAGGCATCCTTCTTATTTTCACGACATGTGTCTACCCCTTAACTTTGACTTAATAATGTAGTTTATAGATATGCCTATGAATCTCCTATTTCCTATCTTATCAGCACCAAGTTCGCTAAACGTGCTCCACCGCAACTAGGTTTAACCTTATGACTTGGATAGCCTTATTGACCAATCACTAGATTATCCAGCCTAGTCAATTCCTCAAGGTCAACCCCTAATGGTAGATTAACCAACTGATGAGTCAATATCTGTAGTGCAACCAGCCCAACAAGTTAACTATCTCCAGGTACCCATCGAGGCGCCAATGGATCAATTTGTTCCTAAGGTCTAGCCATGCCAGCCCATCTTGGAGGTTCAAGACAGCCAACCATAGGTCTAGTCATTTCAGGTTACTCCCCAAGTTCAATAATTAGGGAAACTCAATCAACTAGTCTATCAGTCAATTCGAGTAGGTCATATACCTTACACTGATCCATGTTAGACAACTTGCCAGCTAGTTAACCTGATCTAGTTCTAATATTTCAATTAGCCAACATGGAAGCAACTATAAAACACCTTCTCAACCCTAGGTGACCTCAAAACCTAACCTCTAAAAATATATAGGAAAAAAACAACTTTTGTAGACAAATAAAAGCCTTACACGTAAATTCCTAGGCACTCTCTTTTCTGTAGTTTAAGAAAACTTTTAGTTCAACAAACCTAAAGTGAGATTATTCATAAACATTAGTTGCAAAACACCAGGCCAGAAATGTTATTACACTCTTGAACGTCGGACTACATAATCCGGGCAAATGTAAACCGATTAAAAAAAATTTTCTTTTTATTTTATTTTCACCACCCTGATTACTTACAAAAGTCCAAATATATTATGAGAAACAATAAGAGCACAAAAGAAACCCAAGGACTCTCACTTGCTGTCACTTTAATAATTATTTATCATACAAACGAAATTGCATAAATTTGATATTGGGATCATGAAACACATAATACTCATGGGAATAAGAAAAGATAAGACTGCAAATCATGAAGAAGATTGTCAAAAGATTAACTTAACTGGACTTTGCACACCTCGCACGTGGTTTCCTCCTCTAGTGGTGCATGGTGCATGGGATCAATGGTCTATCTCAAACTGCAAATCATAAAGAAAATTGCCAGAAGATTAACTTAACTAGACTTTGCACTTGGTCTTCTCCTCTAGTGGTGCATAGTGCATGGGATCAATGGTCTATCCTCCTCTAGTGGTGCATAGTGCATGTAATCAATAGTCTATCTCAGATTTTTTAAGAATAGGGAAAAAAAAAATATCATGAAGAAGATTGCCAGAAGATTAACTTAACTGGACTTTGCACACCTCGCACCTGGTCTCCTCCTCTAGTGGTGCATGGTACATGGGATCAATGGTCTATCTCAGACTGCAAATCATGAAGAAGATTACCAGAAGATTAACGTAACTGGACTTTACACACCTCGCACCTGGTCTCCTCCTCTAGTGGTGCATAGTGAATGGGATCAATGGTCTATCATCTTCTAGTGGTGCATAGTGCATGGGATCAATGGTCTATCCTCCTCTAGTGGTACATAGTGCATGGGATCAATGGTCTATCTTAGATTTTTTAAGAATAAGAGAAAAAAAAAAGGGGTAGGTCAGTGGGGATTTGAGCCCCTACCCTTTGGTGAGAATGAAGTCAAATATGTCATCATAGTGCCCATTAGTACTACTGCTAAGGCCCCGGCCCATTGTTGATGTTTGAAGCATGGGAAATCATAGGCTATCAACCCTTTCAAATTAGAAAGCAATAGTGAAACCATAGGCTATGTCTCAATACCTAGCATGATGGTCTAGGTCTTAATATTTAGGGTTGGGGCATGGCCCTCTTTTCTTTTCTCAATACCTAGCATGATGGACTAGGTCTTAATATTTAGGGTTGGGGCATGGCCCTCTTTTCTTTTCTCAAAGATAGCTCCATCTTAGAGAGGCTAGAGAGGGGAAGATAAAGATCAGATCTGTAGAGAGAGAGAGTGGCATGCTAATCTTAGGGGAAGAGATCATATCGGTAGAGAGACTGCCATGATAGATCAATTTGAGGGTTTTTTTTAAGCATCGGAACTTCATTTTTCAGTGGGATTTGAGATGTGACATTACGTTTGATCCTAAGCCTCATGAAAAAGTTGTTTTCCATAATGTATTGAATATACCATTGTATGATTTTACAAGGCCATAAAAATGCCAATGATTAGAGAAACATTTCCTACTGTTTACTAATTCAAATAGCTCTTTAAAATAATTAGAGCCTTCTGACATACTCGCGGGTGCACACACACCTTGAAAGTTTGCATCAATCCCATTGACATATTTGTTGCAGTTTCATAGTTTGGTGTTATGGACAATATTTTCCCATTTATATCCTATCTACCATGTTAAAACCCAAGGTTCTGAAACCCTTGGCCAAGCCAAGTTGGTAGGGTAAAGTCCGATTAGGCTCACCTGAGTAATGCATACGCCCCTTAAAAAGAAAAACAAGTAAGCAAAACAAAAAAAGATAGAGAAAGTACAATAAAATAAAAAAAGGTTTGTTTTCCATAAGGTTGTAACCTTAATCAATCCAATTAAGGTGGACCTCCAAATTTTATTATAACATGTAATTTTGATGTAAAATATTCCTAGGATTTTTTCAAAATCTATTTTCATATGTAATTGTAAATTTTTAAACTCCAAAAAAGGTTAAAATCAAGTAGCTGTATAAATATATGAAAATCTTGAAAATAGACAGTTTAGATAAAGTGTTGTAAGATGAGCGTGCATATCCTGTGATCATGGCATTCCAAGTAACGATATCCCTCTCGTCCATGTTCCTGAACAAAGCCTCAGCAGAACCCATATCACCCAACCTTATAAAACCAGCAATTAAAGCATTCCACAAGATCAAATCCTTGTTAGGAATATCGTCAAATACCTTTCTAGCAGAACCCATAACTCCAAATTTTGAGTACATGTCAACCATGCCATTCTTCACAAACCCATCTGATTTGACTCCAAATTTGATGATATGAGCATGGACTTGATGCCCCTCAATAACAGCAGGAACCGAAGCACAAGCTCTAAGAACGACAGTGAACGTGAATTTATCAGGACTGATACATCTATGCCTCATTAGTGCATAGAGCAAAATAGCATCTTGGGGTCCTCAACAATCTGGGTCAAATACACGGGCATTGAGCTTTGAGTACCCAGCAATCATGGTGTTCCATGGAACCAAACTTTTTACGGGCATTTCATCAAAAACTGGGCGTGCAAAATGTCGTTTATCGCAAGAAGAGTACATACGCATGAGACTGTTTTGTACATACACATTACCAATGGAAAACCATTGCTTAACCAGGTGAGTATGAACCTGTTGGCCTTCTCTTAGCCCCACTATAGAGGAGCAAGCCTTGAGAACCAATGGGAAGGTGAAATCATCAGGAAAAACAACATCTTTCACCATTTCAAGGTACAGGGAGAAAGCATAGGCTCTTGTCAATCAGATCTCTAATCATGGTGTTGTAGAGATATGAAGAATTTTGATACTCATTGTTTGAGTTAGGTTTTGTAAGAGGGGATTTCAGTGGAGAATAGAGGGCAAATTTAAATTAATTTTATTGTTATTTGGGGATTTCATGGGGCAAATTTTTAGGTTGAGTCATGATGCAGGGGACGAAAGATTCATGGGGAAAACTGTATTGGGGTATAGTGTTTGAAACAAGTGCAACCATTTTTTGTTGAATTCTCTTCAATGAAGAAGAAGAAAATATCTAGTTTCATATACAAAACCGATCAAATCCTTACAAGAGAGAAAAACCCAATAAGTTATTGTCCTTGCAAAGGAGAAAACACTTGTTTCTTCTCAATTTTGGCCATAGATTCTTCAATGGTCTCCTCTGCAATTCTTCCCCTTGCCACGTCTTCTGCAATTTGCAACGCTAAAGCCCCTGCACCAATGCAAAATGGTTCGGTCCTTGTCTCGGAGCCGTGATTTCGCACCTGTGATGTCTCCTTAGTATTTTTCCGGCGGGAGAAACCCTGTCACACGACGGCCGTCACGGAATCTTTCCATGCATGCCGGAATTTGTTCCTTTCCGGGGGGTTCATGTGCTTTTCTGGAGAACCCTTGCGGTTCGCAACACGTGTCTTGTTTGATTACTTATTCCGAGCGGGAGCATACTGTCTATTTGCTCCCTCGGTCAGCTACATTAGAATAGAGCAAAATGAAAAGGAAAATGATCTAATGCAACGGTTGTATAATAGTATAATGCAACCACACCTCTAGAAAATTATATTTTTAGCATTTGTATGACCCCAAATTGCGTAGAGACATTCTCTTCATCCTCATAATCAATCTTACAAAAATAATTTCAATTTGTACGCCAAAATTAATACCTATCCAACAATGAATTTCGACCATCTATTTGGTGAATTTCAAGATCTAGGCCTTAACAAAGTCAACATTAGTTTTTCCTTTTTTAGCATTATTAATCTAATGATGATAACGCTATATACAAATTTTGGGAATAAAAAAATGCTTCTCAAGCATATATCTAACCATCTCAATAAAATGGATGACTTATATTAGACTAGAATGAATACTTTCTAAAGCATTTTTTCAACATTTTCTTTATTGTGATTGTTCTTCATAATGAAAAGAGTGTACATTAAAAAATGGGTATGGTTTCTATAAGGTTGCAACCTTAAACAATCCAATTAAGGTGCATCTCCAAATTTTACCCTAACATGTAATTTTGGTGTAAAAAATTCTTAAGATTATCTTAAATTGTATTTTCATATCTATTTATAAAATTTTAAACTCCAAAAATAGTTAAAATCAAGTAGATCTATATACATATGAAAATCTTGAAAATGAACAGTCTAGATAATGTGTTGCAATATGCACTATTTCTGAGACTCAAAATCTTTTTTTTCTTTCGTATTTATACATCTTGATGCCGAGATGATCAATTAAAAAGTTTTCAACATTAAAATAATAATTTTCGATGGATTTTTAGGTGCATCTTTAATTCCATATTTTAAAGTTGCAACCTTATATAAACTTTTCTTTTAAAAATTCGTGTCAAACAAATGTCTCTAGCATAGTTTTTAAAAATGATTCTACTATACTACTATACAACCGTTGTAATAAATCATTCCCCAAATAAAAAACATGAACTACTCTCCTAAGAGCGGTTTGTTAGGGCTTACAGTGGCCCTAAAAGGAATGCGTGAGAATCCATGAGTAAGGGAAAGCAATACATCTTGATAGCAAACTGAATGCCCTTTCCTAGAGCTGGAAAGTCAATCAGCAAGGGACAACAATACATCTTGATAGCAAGCTGCATGCCCCTTCCAATTTGTCAGTTGCGTGCCCCAAAGTGAACAAAAAGGGCATGAAAACCTCTCATTTTATTTCAAATAATTCTACAACCAGCTAGCCTAAAGTTGCCAAAAGAGGAACCATAATAACACAAGTGATTGTCTATAAGGAGACTATTTATCTTTTATACATGAAAGTCATAATCATTCTCACTCATTAGTGGGTCTCGAAATTTGAATTTTTTTTTTTTTTGGAACGATATCTATTCAATAACGCTCTTACAACCGCCTATTTTAAAATTTAAGACAAGAATAATTGTATCCTCAATGAGCAAAAGATAAATGATATCTTTGTATACAAACCTATAAAAGAATTCGAGTGCACATAATCCTATAGGACCCTCCGCCACCCATATGCATAAAACCCCAAAGGATCACTATTAAATTTGACACAAATTTCTAAAAAAATTTGCACATGAATGTAGATTTTTACTTTTATAGAGATTTACGCCAACTTTAATAATGATCCTTTAAAATCCTACACACATGGGTGTGAGAATGTTTCATAAGATCTTTACTCTTCTAATATTATCTATAATATGCTTCTCTGATAGATGGAAACTCCATCCCTTCGCTTTTGCCAAATCCACAACAAAGAGGTAATATAGTCCATCAAAACCGTTCTCTTTTGGATCTCATTCCTTTAAAGGTGTACAAGTTTTGTTCAATCCTAAGGAGCCCGACTATTGCGATTGTGGACAACAGATCCGCTTTTCTTAGGACTTAAAATCCTCCCTTTCCTTTCTCTTTATACATCTTCTCTTTATACATCTTGGAGTCGAAATGGTCAATTGGAAGCTTTTCAAACTTCAAAACACTCTGCTCTCCTGAATTTTTAAAGCCCATAAATCTCCTGAATTTTTAAAGCCCATATTAAATCTATGATATAAAGTTGCAACCTTATATAAAATTTTTCCTTTTTGATTCAACCATATATAAACTTTTTCCTTTTTGAGTTTTGACTCAATCCAATAGAAGTTCATTCTTGCTTTAAGACTCCACCAGATAGGTTATACCTTGGGGTATGCCCTTTTGCATCTGAATTTTCACTGAAATCTCCACCATATAGGTTATACCTTGGGGTATGCCCTTTTGCGTCTAAATTTTCATTGAAGTCGGGTGGATTTAATACTTCAAAGAGATAGGGAAAAGAGAGAGAGAGAGAGTCACTGTTCATTAGAGACTAGGAAAAGAATAACATGAAGAAAAGTCTCAAACACTTTACACGAAAAAATCCATCCATACGACACCAATTTCTAGGGCTCAATCCAAGATTTTGTCATTCCATTGTGCTCCCACGATGCCATGAAACCTTGGGATCCGAAGCCACAGCCGATAAACCTGCAGCATGGGGGACAACGAGGGGTTAGGCATAAAGATGCCTTCATTATACTATGATACAGCCGTTGCATTGGATCGTTGCTCCCTCTATATATATATGGGAGTGATTTTATGCGACAGTTCTAAAATAAAAGATCGCGTTAGGGCTATTTATTTGATTTAAATTTTACAATATAGACTCCTTTCATTCTAAAGATCAATCACAAAAAGTAGAATTTTGAAATAAACAACCTAAAAAGAATTTTTTTAGCTCAATTAACAAAAGATGTCTATTTTAGTGAGATGCTTAAATTTAAGCCTTTTTTTTTTCCAAATTTCTTAAACTACTTTATTATCATTAGATTAACAATATTAAAATAAAATAAAATGATTTTCAATGCATAAAGGCCTAAGTGAGGCGTGTGGAGGTATATAATTAGAGTTTTATATGATTGCCGCATACCCATGAAACAGATGAAAATGTTCTATAAGTCAAGTTTGCTTTATGGGACAAAACGCTAAGCAGTCAACAAACATACCTATACAATCACTGTAGTTGAGATGAAGATGTTGAGATGGATGATAAAACAAGAAAAGATACAATTCCAAATGAATAAATTCCGAAGAACTTAAGCTTAACACTAATAGGTAAAGAAAAGATAGAATTCCAAATGAATAAATTCCGAAGAACTTAAGCTTAACACTAATAGGTAATAAGATGATAGAAAGTAAACTTAAGTGGGCTAACCATGTATACGGCAGACCCAGTACAACTTATATTAAGAGGTACGAGTTAGATTTAAGTAGAAAGCTAAAAAAAGGCAAATGTAGACCCCAAAGGCCATGATTAGAAACAGTAAGAAAAGATATGGGACGTATGGCCTCATTGAGGGTATGACCATTAATAGAGTAGAATGACAGACTAAGATTCATATAACAAACCCCAAATAGTTCACAAAAAGCTTAAATGATGATGATGATTTAGATGTACCTCACTGATGCATACACCCCTAAATTTTGAGGTTAATCCAATTTATAAAAAATTAATTAAGATTTAAACACTATTAGATAATCATGCTACCTGAGACTCTAGATGGTAATGAGCTATGAATGAAATACTATAGAAATTACTCATGAGTGTTTTTAAATGTCTCTCTCTCTCTCTTCTCCTATATATATATATATATATATATATATAATACTATATAATTAAATTAAACTTAAATTAAACTTAATATAGTATAATATACGTATACTACT